TCTTTCTTTCTTTCTTTCTTTCTTTCTTTCTTTCTTTCTTTCTTTCTTTCTTTCTTTCTTTCTTTCTTTCTTTCTTTCTTTCTTTCTTTCTTTGCAAAACCCAGATTGAACATTGAACTCAGGCCCTCGTGCTTGCCAGGCAAGTACTTATTCTACTGAGCTATCTCTCTGGCCCTGATTTTTTCATTCTTAAATGATAGGTTTAAATAGTGACCATATGTGGTCTACAAAGCATTACTTAATGATAGGTTTAAACAGAGACCATATGTGGTCTACAAAGCATTACTTACTATGTGGGCTTTGTAGAAAAAATTTTCCAACTTATAGTACCTGGATGTTGGAACATTCTCAGTCTTGGTGATGTGGTGATGTCTTATTCCTTCTGAACCTGTCCTCCTAGTCTTCTTTCTGCGAAGGGAAAAAGTTTCCTAAAATGTGAACTCTGTTGTGCCATTTTGTCTTATGTGTTTCATTGCCCTTCACTGCTTAAGGGTGTCAGCCTCCACATGCTGTCCTTATCTTCTTACTGCAATGATCTCCATATTACTATCCCAAATTTGGAACCCGCTGATCTTTAGGTCTGAGTATCTACTCCCTGCCATTGTGCTCAGCAAAGAGCTCAGTTTTTCTTTCTCTGAGAACCTCTTTCTAATGTCCATTAACTAAGCCAACAACCTCTGCTCTTCAATGACTTGTACAGTGCTTCTAGTCTTGCATTTATCTCTCTCTACCATGATTATGGGTTTTGCTGCCTGTCACAGTGTAGTTTCCTCCTGAAAGTAAAGGTATATATGTTTTACTTTTGAAATTTCTAGTACCCCTTCTGAGACTGTGTCCTCAGTCAGTATCCATTTGCTTGTCATTGCTTGCTGGAATTAGAGCTGAGGAGTTAAGGCTTCTATGATGTTATAAGGAAACAGAGAGCAGAGGCAAGTCATGAGGGCTTCCTAGGGAAAGGAGACTGTTTAGCTAAGTCTTAGAGCCTGAGAAAGAAGCAAAATGAGATAATGGGGGGAAAGGAACCTAGGGTAAGATGATAAGATGAGGAAGCCTGAAAGATACAAGTTGGGGTAATGGCAAACTGAGGATGGGGCATTGCAGGGTGCTGGAAGCTGGGAAAGAAAAGGTTCCTGTTTGGCAAAGTCTACTCTGCTGAGGGGTGTGGACAGCAGGAAGCCACAGAGGGTTGGAGCAGTCACGTGCCATGCTCTTTGCTCATTTACCTGTCCTCTATCACTGTGCCAGAGGTTCTTTAGGTGTCCACTGGGTTTTTGTCTTCTTAAGTGCACATGTCCCTGGCAGGCTACAACCTCCTGATGAATGTTGCTTTCTTTTTTGACAGAACCAGGGATTGAACTCAGTCCCTTCAACTTGTGAAGGAAGCGCTTATTCTACTGAGCCATCTCCCCAGCCCCAAATGTTACTTTCATCATTGAAATGTATAAAAACTGCCAGATTTGAGGGTGGTGGGAATCCTTGATATTTAGCATTCTATGTAATATAAATATTTGATACATTAGTATTCAAAATATTTAATATAAATGAACATATAATACTTAAATACTTTAAATTCTAAATAGTCGATATAACTTAATATCATAGATAATAGTACTTATTAGGTGAACATTTGTCCTATCTATGCCTTTCAGAAATCTAAGAACTCTGGTTATGCTTATTCATAGTTTTTGAATTTTATACTTACAAATGTTCTTATTAGAAAAAATCTATCCTCTTATGGAAATTTAGTTTTTATTTCTTCTTATGGAAGTTTTAATCTCTTGGGAAATTTGGCTGACTTTCCTGGATCTTCTCCAATTCAGTTTTGTTTTTGTTAAGGCTTTCAAGAGCATTTACATTCTTTTCAGCTTTTCCTGACTCTTTTTTGGTTTATTTCTTGTGATTTTGGTGTTTTCTATGAACACAAGGTTAAGGAGAGTAAGGCAAAATAATCTCTTGTCCTCCAAACATTCCACAGGATCCTTAGAAGATGATCTTCAAAGGTGGAGTGTGGAGTTCTTATTAATGACATCTATGGACAAAGGCTGTCATCAGCTCAGGGGTTTGAAGGTTAACAACTTAGTGGTGTAGGGATTCTGATGAAATGAATTTGGTGGTAAAAGATGTCTAGATAACAGAATAAAATTGGGATGTAGGGAGATGCCTGCACTCCAGGAAATTCTCGGTCTCCACTTAGTTATCCAGATCCTCAAAGTGAACACAAAACTTCAGTTTCAAATTGAATACATTTTCCATCCATGGATTGGCTTGTTTTGTTCAGTTTTACTTTGAGTGTTTGAGGTTGTCTTTTCGACGTAACTGCTAAACCCACGGCTTCCTTTCTCGTAAAACCAAAACAAAAAGGCTTTCTACTCAGGTGCCCTCTGTATGTGCTCATGTGTAGTACATATCTGGGATCAAAGGTGTCTATATAAAGTCCTTGAATCTGTGTGGGTTCAAACACATTTCAAAGGTTCAGGATCCTGAAAGGTTTCGCTCTGCTTCCTGAAGACCTGACTTATCTCCCATAAAGACATGGCTTGCCTTGGGCTCCGGAGGCACCAGGTTCAGCTGCAGATGCTTCCCAAGACCTGGCCCTGTTCTGCCCTCTTTTCTCTTCTCTTCATGCCTGTGTTCTGTAAAGGTGAGTGGAGACTTGGAACATGAAGGCGGAGGAAGCATTTCTCCCACCTTGTTTCATTTCTTTCAGCACTCAAGGGCAGTGATTTCTAGCAAAGCCAAAAGTGTAAGGTAAGTCTACAACCCTTGGCTTGGATGGCTCTGTACTCCAAGACAAGCAGGGGACAGCTGGCAGTAGCCAACGAGCAGAAGTAGAGCTCAGAACAGAGTACTAGGTTTTTAGCAGTGGCTTAATGAACATATGTGAGTGGTAGGAGGGAGACATGAGCAGTTTCAGATATAGGTATAGCATTTTGAAAGAGAATACTGTAAAGTTAAATGATTTAAGTGGGAAAAGACCCTACGCAGTTCTGAATATATTTGAGCTTATTGGGGCAATCTCAAGATTTATCTCTTATAAAATTAATTTAACTGAATTATGGAATTCTTTTCTATACAATTCAAGGGCTTTGAGGTGTAGTCATTTGTTAATTCTATAAACTAGTTAGTTAACTTGTTTAAAATCTGAATAAGTCAATGGGAAGAATGCCTTCCTCATTCCTTTCAAGATTTTAAACTCCTTTTAATCCTTTAGACTAGTTAGCTGGTGCATGCCTGTAATCTCAGCTCTTGAGAGGCTGAGACAAAAGGATTTCAGGGAGTTCAAGGCCAGCCTAGGCTATGTGAATTCAAGGCCAGCTTGAAACAACATAGTGAGAAACTGTGTAACCCCCCCCCCCAAACAAACAAATAAACAAAAAAAACCCCTATGAAATTGAAGAAATAAAGTAGGACAGGAAGGAAGACCAAAAAGAAATAAAGAAAGGAAACCAGACTCACATGGATTTCAGATGCAGAACCTCAGTTTTCAAATGAAATAAGGCTCTGTAGAGATTGATACCAGGTGTACTTTACAGTTTAAATTGAGTACTTCCACTGAATCTCAATCTTATCTCTCTTCTAAGTTAAGAAAGCATGTGGTTTGATGAAGTATGTGCTTAGGAGATAATTAAGTTCTCCTGGGGAAGAAATTACACATATTTTCCTATTTTATATACATTGAGCATGACAATATTAATACCTTTAGATGTATTCCAGTTTCTTTCTTAGGACTTTATCTCAATCAGTGTCTAGGACCTTGCCATTTTTTGGATACCAAAAAACTGTGTATGATCAGATTTAGTAGTGATGAAGTATGAGCTCACTTGGGGCAGAGGACATTAAGCTTGATCTTCCTTAGAGTTGATACAATAAAGAAGGTCAAGTGCTCACTTGGGCAGGAAACTACGGATCATTCCAAGGAATTTGTGAGGCACTGGCAGAAGAGAGGATGGTCAGGTTTGCTTACAAAAGTTTTTAATAGGGCAGAACTTGCTTAAACACTTCAAAGGATGCCCAGAGAGTGTCTCTATGGTAGGAAGAGATGAAGGTTGAGAAAGACACTATTGTCTTACTAGCCAGAGCTGCTGGAACAACAATGGCAATAATTCTTGCCATATATTCTTAGGTGCACAAAGGAAGGGACTATTGTCTCCAATATTGGATGATTTAGAGGTCGGATGGATATCTTAGAAACTCAGTGATAAATGAGAGACATTGAATGTTAAAGGTCATATTTGTTTTTACAATCTGTGCTACTAAAGGGCCAAAAAGTTTGAAGAGGTAAGTGACCTTATTCAATCTAATTTTTGAGTGTCCCTTGTAAGACTGACCAGAGAGGAATGATGTTAGCTACAAAAAGATCATTGCTTAAGATAAAGCTGCTAATTTTTGGATGATTTAAGGATGTTTGTATAGAAATCTGGCCTTCCTTGTCTTGTAGAATCCAAAAGGAAAAGAAAGAACAAAAGAGTATGAGTGTTCAAGTGAAGGAGGGAGGGAGGAAAGAAGAGGTGGTGGGCGTGGCAGGGGAAGCCCACAAAGTTAACAGCAGGGTTGCCTCACCCCAGAGAGGAAACGACCTGGTGCCCTTGGTTCTGTGGCTTCCCCATCTCACAGAATCTGTCTCTCTACAACAATAGTGCCACAGAAGGGGTGGCCGTGGCTCTGCTACCCCTGGGAGATAGAGGCGCAGGGCCAATTAGGTAAGGAGGCAGGAGTCTGAGATATGCATTGAGCTCTTAGGCAAGACACTGTACTTAAACTCCAGAAGTTCCCCTAGTCCTCATTACATGACCTGAACTACATAGTTTTATTACACGTTTAGGACACCAGAGTTGGTAGGCACTTTGTTATCATGCGATCTAAACCCCTTTTCTACATGTGTGAAAAATGAGGGGAGGAGGAGGTTGCCCAAATGGCCTATTTCATGTTAGAGCCATGTCTTTTATCTGTCACATCTGGGTGTTTTCTTCCCTGTCTTTAAGAAATGATTTCTCAGTAAGGAAACCTCCTTAGGAGGGCAGCTGGAAGACAGTTGAGAGATGTTGGGGGTTTTGGCATGGGCGAGGAGGGAAGGGAATTGTTGGGTTTGCCGGAGGCAAGCGTTTAGGACTAGAAAGTGAGGCTGGAGATATCAGAGATACCCATTCCTGGGCCTGGCGTGGATGTGTGCCTAGTCACCAAGTTCCTTCTCATTTTTCCGTGTCAGCGATGCACGTGGTCCAGCCTGCTGTGGTTCTGGCCAGCAGCCGGGGCGTCGCCAGCTTTGAGTGTGAGTATGCCTCTGTGCATAATGCCAGTGAGGTCCGGGTGACGGTGCTGCGGCAGATGGCGAGCCAGACCTCTGAATTCTGTGCCGCGACCTACACAGTGGAGAGGCAGCTGGCCTTCCCCGAGGACTCGGCCTGCGCTGGCACCTCCAATGGGAGCAAAGTGAACCTCACCATCCAAGGCCTACGTGCTGTGAACACTGGGCTCTACATCTGCAAGGTGGAGCTCATGTACCCACCGCCATACTTGGTGGGTACGGGCAACGGGACCCAGATTTATATCATAGGTGAGCAAAGACATTCCACTAAGCTAAGACCTTTTGCATCACTGCCTTCTTTGTATGAAAATAACTTTGTTCCTTTATTTTAGATGTCTCATTTGTAGGGCTGTAGAAATGTTCCCTCAGTGTTCTTGATCATAGGATAGCCTGGGTTTATGGGTGGTGACATTAATAGCATTCTAATTATAAAAGGAAAGGATTGGGGAAGATGTTTATTTCTGCTGCCAGGTCCTTGCTCTGTGACAACTACGGTGAAGTTTGCCTTGTGCCTTTAGTAGGACACTGTGGGGAAGTTGTCTCAAATAGTTAGACTTCTCCTGGATGACCAAGGCAATTTTGGACTGGGTAGCAAAGTCTGGAAGCTTTAGCTTGTTTACTCAGCAAGGAGCAAAGTGGGCCCTAACGTTGAAGCCGGTCTCTGGGAGGCTCTGTTGTGTTTCCTTTGCAGATCCAGAACCATGCCCAGATTCTGACTTCCTCCTTTGGGTCCTTGCAGCAGTCAGTTCAGGGCTGTTTTTTTACAGCTTCCTCATCACAGCTGTTTCTTTGAGCAAAATGGTAAGTATGCTGCAGACAGTGTGCCATGTTTGGTGGGGTTGTAGTCAGTCATTCAGATCCACTGACCAAATCACCACTTCAGGGTTAATTCTGGGGGATGAAGCAACCCATAAAGAGGAGGAAGGACAGTGCAAAGAACACTAGAGCCTTAACACTGGCCTTTGGGGTTTCAAGATGACTAATATGGTCATGAGCATGTTTGACATTGAATGTTTGTGTGCTTCTGAGCAGAGTTTCAGTTTGAGTAACTGAGCAACATGGGACAGCTGCTTTGCTCTGTATCTTCATGACAACTGTGTTTAGGTTGTCTGTATTTTATTTGAAATACAAGATGAGGTTGGACAAAATGCTGCGAGGAAGGATGACCAGGATGGACTTTTATTCTCCTGCTAAATGTCCCTCTGCTTCTTGTGAAAACCATCTTTTGGGGTCACCCTATGCCTTCCTTGTCTATAGCTGCCCAAAGAGTCCCTGTCCCTGTTAAGTGCCCTTGATGAAGAGATCCTGGGCTCTCTTCCAGCCCAATAATGAAATTTCCATTTTGATTTACTGCAATTGTCAGTCATGAAAGAGAAAGAGGCATGCAAACAGGCCTCTTGGCAATCCCTGTCAGCACCCTCTGCCTATGTCACAAACTACTCTACATCCTATGCCTCTCTCCTCTCTCTTCTTCTTTTTCTCCTCTCTCTCCTCTTTCTGTCTTGGAGACATATACCCCCACTCCCACTCCCACATACATACAATTCTAAGAGCCTATGCTCGACTGACAGTGATTTTGTGTGCTCCTACCTCATGTGCTGTCCATGGCTATACACAGTTTATGGAGGTAATAGACTGGTAGCTGATGCAGACAGAAAAATTGTGATAAAAACCATGTGAAGAATGGAGGCAAGAAAAACAGTTCTCATAGAAGATAAGTCGAGTTGATTCCCTATCAAGCTTGTTCTTCCACAGACAAGATCTGGTCAATTTTGGTGTTATCCAGGGTGTTCTATGTTGTCAAAAATCTCTTCTATCTTCCAGTCAGGGAAAATTATTGCTATTTTACATCCAAATCACTGATCTAAAAAGAATATTAACAGTGCAATCAAGAAAATCTCCTGGAGTTTATAATTCTGTGTGTTGTGAACATGTATTTTCTGTTGGGTAGGGACTCAATATTTGCTGAGTCCAATTATAGATCGATGTAGCTTTTTATTCTTTGTTAATAATTACCATTTCTTTTCATGTTTGGCAGCTGAAGAAGAGAAGCCCTCTTACAACAGGGGTCTATGTGAAAATGCCCCCCACAGAGCCGGAATGTGAAAAGCAATTCCAGCCTTATTTTATTCCTATCAATTGAGAGACTATTGTCAAGAAGAAAGAACATACTTCAATTTCTAAGAGCTGAGGCAATTCTAACTCACTTTCCTCTCCAGCTATCTTGTTTATTTGTGTATTTTTGGGAATTCATCTCTCTTCAATATAAAGCTGTATTCAGACCTCAAATTAAGCATACTACAATTTACATCAGGGGAGCATGAAAGCAGAACTAGAGTATTTCTGCCATGTCAAACCCAGTTTTAGTAAAAGCATAATTTGGGAGGAATAGGAGGAAGCAGCATTAGGAGGGTCAGGAAATAAGTTTGAGAATGACACAGTCCCAAGAAAGGGAAGAAAGGGAACAGGGGAAAGAACTATTGTACACACTGTCTATTTACCCATGAGATGTTTATAGCTGAAATGATTTTACATTTTTAGACTGTACTATTTGTCATACCATATGTATAATTATATGAAGATTTAAAAAATATTCACATGGCTATGTTTTAGTCAGTGATTCCAGAAGTTGTATTGTACCAATATGTATTTTTAATAGTAGTGTGCACGGGGGTCACATGTTCTTTAGTGTGTTTGCTGTAGATTTAAAAAAGAATATAAACACTATACGGTAATGTCTTCCCACTGTGGTTTCTGGAGAAGTTTAATGGATGAGCTCAGGACACTAATATGCCAGGGAGAAGGCAGGGTCTCTTCTTGATTGGTCTGGAAATGGGATGAGATTATAGCAGTACTCAGTTATACAGAATTGGTATTGACAGGATCTTCAGGCCTGTACAGAAGCTCCTTTCAGTGATATGCAAGAGAGCTGAAGTGGGGATGTCTGTGTTACCTTGATGGAATATTGTCAGGACAATGACCCTCTTCAGGAGACCTGTAGGGACCACCTTCTAGAAGCTCCAGCCTCATCAGCTGAATCTCTTACACACATCATCAATGCCACAGAGGGAGGACAGCAACGGGTGTCAGAATGGGGTGCATACATTTTTCTGAAAATGAACACTGTTGGTGTTTTTTTAACTCAATATTTTCTATGAAAATGAAAACAAATGTATAATATTTGAAATTAAATAAAAGCCTTTGGCAGTTATTTTCTGGCATTATCTTTTTTGGGTTCATTTATTTATATGTTGTCTATGTTTAAAGTGTGCAACATGGTATTTTGGTACACATGTATGTGGAGGTTTTGAATGGCTATGTTACTACAGTCAGTTCTAAAATGGAATGGGAGGATGCTCTGGTGTTATCATACTTGCCATTCAGGGTTTGATTGCTTTATGCAGCAGTTAGTGGAATCTCTAGTATTAGAAATACTGCAAGTGAATTGGGCAAACACAAAAGGGCAGATCGTGCTTCATGAAACAGCTACACACCAGCCCATTACTTTCAAGACCTTTCTTATGAGAATTCATCCCGTTATGTTTTGATTTCTTCTACTGAAGAGGTAATGTGGGTTAGCACAGGCAGATCAGTCCTTTACAAATCAGTGGCATGCTCTTCAATTCATGCCTTTCACCTTGCCTTCCTTATCCACAACTTTCTCATCTCATTGCATACTGATTACAGTTGCCACAGTAACACCAGTGTTGTCAGTGATGCTCTTTGCAGCCATTTTGATTTTTCTTCATGGTAAATGAAACTTTGTCTTGGACTTTACAAATGGATTATATTGCATATATATTTTCCATATTGCTATCGTCTGGCAAGACCTAGACCTGGCTAACTGAAGTCTCACTGATTCTTGGTTAACCAAAGTGTGGCCTTAGCGCCCTAAGATTTCTTATTCTTGACCTACACATCATGTTATTGTCTTGTGCAGTGAACTGCAGTGCAGCCAGAGACTTATAACTGAATACATTGGGTTCTTTGCTAAAATCATGGATTAAAGAGCTTACTTCTAAATGCACTAATTTATAGTCTTTTTTTCCAGTTTTCAGAGCTTTGCACTTCAGAGAAATTCTCTATTGTTTCTTACTACTCACCAAATTTTAAGAATTGCTACCTGTTTCAGTCTCTCTGTTTCTCCATTTCTCTCTTTTCTCTTTTTTCTTGCTCTCTCCATTTCTCTCCCTCTTGGTCATTTTCTCTTCTCCCCCCTTTTTCCCTCCCTTCTTCTCTCCCTATTCCCTCTTTTCCTTTGCTCTCTCTTTTTCTTTCTCTCCCCCAATAAACAAACATGAGAGTATTTTAGTATACATTTCTTAAAGATTTTTTAACATAAAAAATGACTAGATCTTTCAAAACAGAGCTATGATTATTATTTCAAAAGAGTCCCTACTATGTGGAAGATTATGTCTCTTGCTCCCAGAATTTGGTGGGCAGTCATTTGAAATATGCAATAGGAGGCCCGGTGAACAGCATGGTATCATTTCTAGTGCTCCAAATGTCTTTAGAGAGATCATACTGTTCCATAGTTGGTGGTAGATCTGAATGGTAGAGAGAACCTTACAAGGGCTCTCACAACTACCTTTCAGACTATTAGATAATGAACTACTTTACATAAGCTTAATATCTCCCGAAATTCTATCATTTGTTACTTGAGTTAACATTTCTCTCTTTTGTCTTGGAAAAATAAAATACTCCTTAACTCAGAAGGGTTTTTTTTTTTTTTCTCTGAATGCCTTCAGGGTAGGTTTGGCTGGCTTGAGTTGTGGGGATCGAACCACAGCAACCTGAGCCTGAGTGCTTGGTTGAAGCAGCCACTTAAAGAACTGAGCTAAGGGGCAGGCCCCCAATACTCCTTAACTCAAATAAGTTTTCTCTACAGTAGATAATAGAATAAAAAAGACTTTGACATAGTGTTTCATTGAAAGGTAATATAACTGAGGGTGGGCATGAAATGAAAGCCTTTCCCCTTTTTGTTTATGAGCATAGAGCCTTTGCCTGAAATACTTGAATGCATTCTCCCTCAGAGGATTCCAAATTTCATTACCATCGCCATTTCTAGGAACAAGGCCCCAGAGAAGCCCAAAGACTCCATCTGAATAGAGCTTGATCTGCAATGCATGAGAACCTTCTCCTCTGAAGCCAAAACCCTTCTCCTTTGACCCACTTTTCCCAGGCATGAGTGTGGATGGAGGGGAGCAGGATAGAGCTGCAGGGACTATAGGTCAACTTCCTTCATGTACTCTAACACGTGCCTCTGTTCTCTCTTCTTCCAACATGGAACCCTCATTTCTGCCACTTTGAATTTTCCAATTTTTCACCTCCCAATGTCTTATTCCACCATCCTCATATCAATCAAGATTAACCTTAAATTCTGTTTCCTCAGTCAGACTCACTGACACTCATACTCTCTCTGTTTTACCACTATCCTTGGTTTCATCTCTAATAATTTCAAGCATGCAAGTCTTTTCTTCCCTGTTTGACAGGAAACATTTCCAAGACAAGGATGCTTCTTAGGTCACTTTAGCCTAATATCTTTTCCATTTGAACAGCAAGACTCTGTGTAGATCAGTTCATCTTAAACCAGAGAGTACCAGAATGTGAGATCCTTACCCCAGTTGTGCGTGTGTGGTCTCATTTTTATTCACTCTCTTTTTTAAAAATTAATTTTATTGAGAAACAAATAGTAATGAGACAGTTTCAAAACCAATTAGGACAATTTCAATAATTAATATATTGCATATTGTTGTCTTCGTAGTGGTTATTCATAGTACAATAACCACATCTTCGTAGTGGTTATTCATAGTACAAGATGCAGACACGATATCTTGTCTAAACACTATTAGTACAAATCTTTCTTCTCATTGAATTAAGGGAAAGTAGCTGTGTATCTATCCTAACTATTTTGTATGTATAGATACAAAATGGTCTTTCATTTCTATTGCCTTTTCTTGTTTAGTTTTGTCAGAGATGGGTATTCGATTGCCATTTAAATATTGTAGGTGTGTGAATTCAGCATATTCACTCTCTTTTACCCTGTTTTGAACTATGAGTTTTGCTACAACTGAGCGTATTTTCATACCCAGGCTGAGTCTTACTCTATATCCCCTATTCATACCCATGTAACTTAACTCATTTGGGATCAACATTGCAAAATATCCATGTCTCTTATTAACTAGAGAAAATGCCAATTGAGATATTTAAGAATTTCTAGATTCAAATTATTTCATGATGTCCCAAAGGATCAGAACAACTTTCTCTGGAAAGTTTTTCTTCCTATCACCTTACTTCTCCTTCACACTTGATTAGAGTTACGACTTTGTCTCCATAGAGACCCAGTTTTACTGTACACATTTTTTTTTCACATTTCAGGTCAATTTTCCTCTGTTAGGCCTGAAAGTATGATTCACCTTATTGATGGAGAGGAAGGAAAGTTTTTTCCTCTCCTCTTTTATATTTTATTAGTTATATGGTACGATAGAAGTTGATTGGTAGGTTTCCCAGATTTATTAAAAAACACCTCAAGGGGAAAAGAAAACACAAAACAAAACCTAATGTGGTCAGTATGTGGTGCTGACAATCCTGTCAGCAGGAATGTTTATGCTTCTATAACTGTAAGAACAAGAAGTGTGCTGGAGACTCTTCATTAGAAATCCCTAGGCAGGGACAGTCTGTGTCCATGGCTCTTGCTCCAGCTGCGACAAGATCTGCAGTGTCCACTCCTGGGCACACTGGGATAGATGCTCTGACATGCTCAGAGGTAACTGCTCATGTGTGGGAATGGTAATTTACTTCCTAAGCTTTTTCTAAGAAGCCAGTCCACCCTTCTGTTGTAACATGTGGTGAGGAATCTGGCATCCCGCCCTCCTTGCCAATCTCTGCTGCTATGAATACACTGTATTATAGTTGTCCTTACATGTATGGTGTACAATCATTAACTAGAGGAATTGGGAAAATTATGGTGCTTCAGTTCCCAGTGTAGTCTTCACATTTTAGAAGAGAGAAAGCATCAGAGAATACTAAGAAGCTTAACAAAGGTCACAGATTAGGGCAAATTTTGAACAGGTTGAGAAAATAGATAACTGGATTTCACCAAATGCTGTGCCATAGATGACACGAAGTACTTTCAGCCCAGCA